AAAAAAAAAGACACACAAAAGGGCAACAGGTACATGAAAAAAAGTGTTCAACATCATTAATCATCAGAGAAATACAAATATCACATAATCACAATGAGATATCATCTCATCTCATTTAGAGTGGCTTTTTATTTTTTTATTTTTATTTATTTTATTTATTTATTTTTAAGACAGGGTTTCACCATGTTGGTCATGAACTCCTGACTTCAGGTGATCCGCCCGCCTTGGCCTCCAAAGTGCTTGGATTACAGGAGTGAGCCACCACGCCCGGCCTTAGAGTGGCTTTTATCAAAAAGGCAAGGAATCATAAATGCTAATGAGAATGTGGTGAAAAGAAAATCCCTGTACACAGTTGGTGGGAATGTAAATTAGTATAGCCACTACAGAGAACAACATTCAGGCGCAGTGGCTCATGCCGGTAATCCCAAAACTTGAGGCTTCCGTGGGAGGATCACTAACCCCACGAGTTCGAGAACAGCCTAGGCAACACAGCAAGACCTACCTGCACACACATACTAGTCAGGCGCAGTGGCTCACGCCTGTAATCCCAACACTTTGGGAGGTCAAGGCATGCAGATTACTTGAGGTCAGGAGTTCAAGACCAGTCTGGCCAAAATGGTGAAACCCCCTCTCTAGGAAAAATACAAAAATTAGCTGGATGTTCTTGCTTGAACCCAGGTGGTAGAGGTTGCATTCCAGCCTGGAAGACTCCATCTCAAAAAAAAAAAAAAAAGTAAAAGAAATTAAGCTCATGGAGGGCTGCTCTCAACCAGGTCCTATTCTAGTCCTAAAATATACAGTTAGAAGAAATAAGAACTGGTATTCAATACATCAGTAGGTTGACTACAGTTAACACTCATCTACTGTACATTTTAAAACAGCTAAGAGAATGACGATGTTCTTTAAGACAAGATAAACATTTAAAGTGATGGATATCTCACTCTGATTTGATTATATGAATGCATCAAATTATCACATGCACTCTAAAAATATGTACATCTATTATGAATCAAAAAAATTTTTTGGATTGTAAAAGAAGAGGTGGGACATTCTGGGGCCACCGTGGCTGTGGGTAAATATATTCCCTTGTCTGGATCATGTAAAGACATCCCCTCCAAGATGTCATTCCAAGTCACTGCAACTAATACCACCTTATCACTAATAAGGAGCAATGGGCCTTGATTATACCACTGCTCTCCAGCCTGAGTGATTCTGCAAGACTCTGTCTCAAAAATGAAAGAAAAAAGCCCCACTATGGAGGTTTGTCAAAAAACTAAAAATATAACTACCAATAGAAATACCATCCATAGGTCTCTTGAATTTTGGAGGCAACATTTACATTTGCATGTGCTTTTACACCCACACACTTGCCTGTAAGGATTTTAGTTTCAACTGTACACCAGAGCAATTTCAGGCTGCCGTGCAGGATTCCCAAGGACTTGGTCCACCTGATCCAGCAGACCCAATGATACTCAGCGTGTCCATGTTAAATATGATGCTATTGATTGGAAGCCTCTGGCAGGCACCAACAGAAGATGTAGAGTACAGCCCTCTGGTATTCTAGAGTCAATCCATGCATGCCCTCTTGTGCAGGTTAACTGCTTTTCTTTTGAGAAACAGCTTGTGGTTTGCCACTAGCACATGACAGAGAATGAACAACTAATCATGGAGTATGAAGTAACTAAGGCTCAACTGAGTAATTTGAGACTTTATGATTCCCAAGGCATTTTTGTATTTTTTCTAGAGACAAAGTTTTACCATATTGGCCAGGCTAGTCTCAAACTCCTGACCTCAGCCCTTATCAAACAAAGGTTGTCAGCTTCTCCTCTGGACCCAGTTACAAGTTTGTAGGAAATCGCATGAAATAAAGGAATACTGAAACACATCATGAAAATCTAATCAGAAATATCTGATTGCATGACTTTCTAAGAGAATAACTGTGACTCTCCAAAAGTCCATATAACAGACAATGATAACTGTTCTAGGTTTATGCTCAATTTACACTCAAATTGTTCACAATAAGATGTACTTTACTGGGGAGAAAGAAAAGCACAATGCTAAAAAAAAAAAAAAAAAAAAAAAAAAAGCAAATGAGGCTGGGCACAGTGGCTCACTCCTGTAATTTCAGAACTTTGGAGGGCCAAGGCAGGAGGATTACAAGGTCAGAAGTTGCAGACCAGCCGGGCCAATATGGTGAAACTCGGTCGCTACTAAAAATACAAACAACAACAACAAAAATCAGCCAGGTGTGGTGGCGAGCGCCTATAGTCCCAGCTACTTGGGAAGCCGAGGCAGGAGAATTGCTTGAACACGGGAGGCAGAGGTTGCAGTGAGCCAAGATTGTGCCACTGCACTCCAGCCTGGGCGACAAAGTGAGACTCCATCTCAAATAAATAAACAAACAAACAAACAAACAAACCTACTAGGCTGGGTGTGTTAGATGTTCAAGTTTTCCTTAGGATCAAATTTTTTGGGGAAAAAAAGTAAAAGCTACAGTTAGTCCAAACTTGCTGTTAATAAATTCTATAATAAAATGTACTAGACATTTTATTATACTGATACTAAAATAATATTCTGATTATAATAATAAATAATTCTAGCATCAGTGTAATAGACTCCACTCTTTCTTCCTGGAGGCCCCTGTTTTGAAGCTCTGCGGGGGAAGTACAGACCTAGGAACTTCAGATGAATAGCTGAGTACTGCCTTTTTTTTTTTTTTTTNTTAGATCTCACTGTCACACTCCAGTAGCGCGATCTCGGCTCACTGCTACCTACGCTTCCCGGTTTCAAGCGATTCTCCTGCCTCAGCCTCCCGAGTAGCTGGGATTACAGGTTCATGCCACCACACCCAGCTAATTTTTGTATTTTTATTATTGGAGAAGTATTTCACCGTGTTGGCCAGGCTGGTCTCGAACTCCTGACCTCAAAGATCTACCCGCCTCAGCCTTCCAAAGTGCTGGGATTATAGGCATGAGCCAACGCACCAGGCCACATTTTCTTTTTTTTTTTTTTTTTTGAGGCGGAGTTTCACTCTTGTCACCCAAACTGGAGATGCAGTGGAAGGATCTTAGCTCACTGAAAACCACCTTCCAGGTTCAAGAGATTCTCCTGCATCAGCCTTCGGAGTAGCTGGGATTACAGGGGCCCTCCACCATACCTGGCTAATTTTTGTATTTTTAGTAGAGACAGGGTTTCACCATATTGGCCAAGCTGGTCTCAAATCCCGACCTCAGGTGATCCGCCCGCCTCGGCCTTCCAGAGTGCTTAGATCATAGGCATGAGCCAGTGCGCCCGGCCTGCCTTTCTTTAGGAGAAAGGCTTGTGGCTGGTAACAACTGGGAAAAAAATAAAGTACAAGAAAATAAAAATAAACTAAAGGTGGCCGCGGGCAGTAGCTCACGCCTGTAATCCCAGAACTCTGGGAGGCAGAGGCGGGAGGATCTCCTGCGGTCGAGTGCTGGAGACCGGCCTGACCAACATGGAGAAGCCCCGTCTCTACCAAAAATACAAAAAATTAGCCGGGCGTGGTGTTGCATTTGCATGCCTGTAATCCCAGCTACTCGGGAGGTTGAGGCAGGAGAATCGCTTGAACCCGGGAGGCGGAGGTTGCAGTGAGCCGAGATAGCAACCTTGCACTCCACCCTGGGCGACAGAGGCGGAATCCGACTTAAAAACAAAACAACAAAAAACTAGGGGCTTACAGACTACAAGTGTTCACATTTACATACAGAAATAGGCACACCCTAAACAAGTTTTTTCCATCTGAATGTAATGTGTCAAAAATAAGTAAACGACATTAAGACAATCCCAGGTTCTCAGAAGAGACATTTTTTTTAGCAAATAAATGAAAGTCAGAGCCCTCTTGAAAACAATTTTCAGCTGATGCTCACCAGGAACAAGCCGGAATCCCCAAGTTGGCGAGAGGACGCAGGGCCGAAGCCAACCTGACTGGAACGACAGAAATCCTTTTCCTTTCGGAAAGAAAAAAAATCACCAAGGTTGCTTTCTAGGCTTTTGAAGACGGGAGTACAGCGGATGAAAGAATCCCAGAAAACACCCCGCGGAGGCGGGACAAACGCACTTCCCGACCCGGCTCCTGACGGGAACCGACCGAGCGTGCGGCCTCTCGGAACTGGCCACGCCGGGAGGACCGACAGACCCTGGAGAAACGAGTGAAACGAGCCGGATCCGAGAGGCTCCTGGGCGACTGCGCCCAAACCTTCCTTTACCGCCCCCCTGCTATCTCCGGGACCCCCAAGCTGGCGCAACTCACCACGGCCAAAACACACTTCACCACGATAAAGGCGAAATGGCACTGACCATGCGGAGCCAGCGCCGAAAAAGATGGCGGTGGTGCGCTGACGTCACTTCCGCTTTGAGCTTTGGGCAGGGCGGGGCTCCTGGGCTGGAATTTCAGCCACGTAGGAGCTGGTCGAACACAGAAGTTCTAGTTTCTTCCCGGGTGGGTGAGGACAGGCCTTTGGTTGGCTCAGGGAGGGGGAATGCAGAAACAGGTCCAGAGAAAAAGGTGAGGTTAGAACCGGGCCTCTGGATGGAACTGTGGGCGAGAATTGGGGCGCGTACTCGGGGACGGTTTAGAGGTGGGACCCGGCCTAGCCCGCGGTTCAGGTGTACCGAGGCGCTGGAAGGACGGGACGGAGGATGGGACGCACCTCAGGGAATGCCGCTCCAAAGCCTTTCCCGGGCGGGTGCAGTGGCTCACGCCTGTAATTCCAACACTTTGGGAGCTAAGGCAGGTGGATAGCTTGAGTCCAAGAGCTCGAGACCAGCCTGGGCAAAATAGCAAGCCCCTGTCTCCATTAAAAAAATTTATGTGTATGTGTATACATATATGTGTGTGTGACACACATGTTCCTAGAGTCTTTCCATGATTTTTCCGTATTGAGAAACCTGCTAGTAAATGGCATGGTCTATCTCTTGCAGTCAGGCTTTCTGTAGGCCTTTTTTTCTTCATTGTTTATTTTTTAGAACCTGCTAATTC